GGGGCGGGCGGGCAGGCTGCCCGGGCTCTGGCTCTCCGCAGCCCTCCCGGGATTCGCCTCCAGCCCTGGCCCGCTTCCCGCAGCGGGGGTCACGTCGGGGCAGCAGGAGGGGGGTGGGGGGCAGGACCACATCGCCGCTGCCCCACAGTGCCCACCGTCACCCCACAACCCCTGGGGTGCTGAGCCCGGCTCCGGGGGGTGCTGCTGCCACCCCCTTAGCTAATCCCAAATTTATTCTGGTTTGTTTGGCATCTCCTCCTTCCTCCTTCCCCTCAGGCTGGCCTGTGCCCACAAGAGTAGGGATGGTGGTGGGGGGTCTGGGGTGCCCCCGTGCCCAGCTTGGGGGATGGTGGCAACCAGTGGGGTGTGACCGGTGGTCCCCACTGTTCTGACACCCCCCCTCTCTTCCCTTGCAGGTTGCCCCCGCGCTCCCGCCCGCCGGGGACCCCCCCGCCATGGCCATCGTGCAGACGCTGCCGGTGCCCCTCGAGGCTGCTGCTGAGGGGGCTGCCCAGCTCCGCGCCGCCTCCCGCTCGCCCCCCACCACCATGGGCAGCGTCGGCAGCCTCCTGCCCGGCCGGCCCCGCCACGACCGTGCCGGCCAGCCCTGCGACGGGGGACACCTCACCTCCTCCTCCTCCTCCTTCCGCAAGCAGGAGGGGCTGCTGCGGGCCACGACCCCCCGGGACCCCCCGTCCCCCGAGGAGCCCCGTGCGGCCGTGCCTGGTGTCACCCACGCCTATGCCAACGGGGGCTTCTGCGGCGACTGGCTGGATGCCCCCTCTCCTGCCAGCCCCTGCAGTGACTCGGATGAGCCCCGTGATGACCGAGCCCTGAGTGGCCACCTGCGGGGGCCACCCCCCAAGCTCGTCCCCGTCTCTGGCAAGCTGGAGGAGGTGAGAAGATGGGGGGGCAGCAGCGGCGTGGGGGGGTGTTGGGGTCTTGGCTTCACTCGGGTGTGTGAACTGGGGTGATGTAGCCACGTTTTTGGTTTCCCTAGGGATTTGGGGGGGTCTCTGTCCCTTTGATGCCCTCTCCTTTGTGCAAGTTGCGTGTGGGAGCCCATCTCCCCATGGAGGGAGGATGGAGCGGGCAGCAACCATCCCTTGTCTCTTTTTGGATGTGAAAGCATCGGGGCTGGGGGGCACCCCCTCCTCGCTGCCCCGGGAGGTCAGTGGTTCTTCCAGCTCCCCCAACTCCACTCTCACTCTCTTCTCTTTCCCCCATAGAACGTGGAGAAGACCCTGATCCGCCCCATGGCCTTCAAGCCGGTGGTGCCCAAGCTGCGCAGCGCCCAGGCGGCCGCACGCCCGGGGCTGTCGGAGAGCCAGGTGAGCCTCACCCACCTGCTGGGTGCCGACAAGCCCGGCTCCCTCAGCTGCCGTGCCAGCACCCTCTCGGATTCGGGGCGCAACTCCCTCTCCAGCCTGCCCACCTACAGCACGGGCTGCAGCCAGCACCCCGAGGCAGGCACCCTGCCCGCCACCCCCCACGGCGCTCCCCCCGACGTCCCCCTGGGGGGCTGCCGACCCTCCAACTCGGACAGCGGGCGCTCGTCCTCCAGCAAGAGCACGGGTTCGCTCAGCGGCCGGGGCCGACCCTCCTCGGAAAGCGGCTCCTGCGGGCGCTCCCCTTTGCCCGGGGAGGAGGCCGCGCTGGTGCGGGAGCTGGAGGACAAGCTGCGGGAGAGGGAGGCCGAGCTGCGGCTCCTGCGCGACAGCCTGGACGAAAACGAGGTGGCCATCTGCCAGGTAGGGCCCTGGCATCCCCCTGGCCCCATCCCTGGGGGCACCTTGTGTGGGTGTCTCTCCCCACCTCACCCTCCAAGTTAGGGGGCAGGGAGCCCCTTGAGGAACCCTTATACAGACCCCTTGTGGGGGGTGTGCTTCTTTCTGGGGGTTTTCCCCGCTGGTGGGTGGCCCTATATGGTCCCTGGGTGGGGGGGAGCCTTTATGATTTGGGGGGGGGGTGACAAGTTGTACAGAGTGGGGTGCTTCATCTTGGGGTGCCCATTTTTGGGATGTGCCTGGGACCTGCAGCTTCTCCCTGCTGGTGGTGGGGAAACCCTATAGAGTCTGGGGGAGCCCTATAGACTCTGGGGGTGCTAATATGGTGGGGGGGGCAGCATGCCAAGGGATGGGGGGGGCACAAAGAGAGGGGTCCACCACTACATTGCACCCCTCTCAACCCCCTCCCCTGTTTGGGGAGGACACACCACCACCCTCCCTTGTGGGCAAGGGATACCCATCCCGGGGAGGGCAGCAGAAGTTTTGGGGGTGCTGTGCCACCCCCCCCTGCAGTGTGTACTCCTTTTTCCCCCCCTTCCCTCAGGTGTACGAGGAGAAGCAGCGTCGCTGCGAGCAGGAGCTGGAGGGGCTGCGGCAGCGCTGCGCGGCCCAGGCACGGCAGGCGGCACAGGCGGCGCAGCGAGGGCAGCAGGTCCTGCAGCTCCAGGTGTTGCAGCTGCAGCAGGAGAAGAAGCAGCTGCAGGAGGACCTGGCCCAGCTGCTGCAGGAACGGGAGCTGCTGGAGCGACGCTGCGCCTCCTTCCAGCGCGAACGCACCGAGATGGCACCCCGGCTGGAGGAGACCAAGTGGGAGGTGAGTGGCTGGGTGAGTTGGGGTGGTCATCCTGGGGAAGCTCAATAGGACCTTGAGGTGCTGGAGCGTGTCCAGAGGAGAGCCACCAAGCTGGGGAGGGGTCTGGAGAACAAGTCACACAAGGAGAGGCTGAGGGAACTGGGCATGTTGAGTTTGGAGAAGAAGAGGCTGAGGGGAGACCTCATTGCCCTCTACAGCTCCCTGAAAGGAGGGTGTAGAGAGGTGGGGGTTGGCCTCTTCTCCCAAGGGAATAATGACAGGAGCAGAGGAAATGGTCTGAAGTTGGGGCAGGGGAGGTTTAGATGAGATATTGGGAAGAATGACTTTCCTGAGAGGGTGGTCAGGCACTAGAACAGCCTGCCCAGGGAGGTGGTGGAGTCACCATCCCTGGAGGGGTTTAAGAAACGTGTAGATGTGGCTCTTCAGGGCACAATCTAGTGCCCGAGATTGTTGCATTGTGTCTCTTGGTGGGTATGTTGTGTGTTGGTTTGGGTTGTGTTGCGGGTTGGTTGGGTGTTTTTTGGGTTGGTTTTTTTTTTGTGGTTGGACTCATCAGTACAGACCAGGGGGTGAGGTGTTAGAAAGCAGCCCTGAGGAAAGGGACTTGAGGGTGCTGGTGGACGAGAAGCTGATCACGAGCAGGCAGTGGGCACTGGCAGCCCAGAAGGCCAATCCCGTCCTGGGCCGCATCAAAAGATGCGTTGCCAGCAGGTCCAGAGAGGGGATTCTGCCACTTTGCTCTGCTCTGGTGAGACCTCACCTGGAGCGCTGTGTGCAGGTCTGGAGCCCTCAGTATAGGAAGGACATGGACCTGATGGAACGGGTCCAGAGGAGGGCCATGAGCATGCTCAGGGTGTTGGAGCCCCTCTGCTCCAAGGACAGGCTGAGGGAGCTGGGGTTGTTCAGCCTGGAGAAGAGGAGACTCCAGGGAGACCTAATAGTGGCCTTCCAGTACCTGAGGGGGCTACAGGAAGGCTGGGGAGAACCTGTTTAGAAAGGCCTGCAGTGACAGGACGAGGGGCAATGGCTTTAAGCTGGAGGGGAGCAGATTTAGACTGGAGATGAGGAGCAAGTTCTTCACTGTGAGGGTGGTGGAGCACTGGAACAGGTTGCCCAGGGAGGTGGTTGAGGCCCCTTCCCTGGAGATATTCAAGGAGAGGCTCGATGAGGCCCTGGGCAACCTGGTCTAGTTGGGGGTGTCCCTGCTGACTGCGGGGGAGTGGGACTAGATGACCTTCTATGATCATAGAATGGCTAGGGTTGGAAGGGACCTCAAAGATCATCCAGTTCCAACCCCCTGCCCTGGGCAGGGACACCTCCCACCAGACCAGGTTGCTCAAGACCCCATCAGCCTGGCCTTGAACCCCTCCAGGGATGGGGCACCCACAGCTTCCCTGGGCCACCTGAAACAATGGCAGACTGCCCCATGATTCTATGACTCGGATGATCTCCGAGGTTCCCTTCCAACCCGTGACGAGGTTGATTGATTCTGTGGCCCACCCCTGCAGGTGTGCCAGAAGTCGGGGGAGATCTCTCTGCTGAAGCAGCAGCTGAAGGAGGCGCAGGCCGAGCTGGCGCAGCGGGGGGCCGAGCTGCTGGGGCTGCGGGCCCAGCTGCGGGAGGCGCGGGCCCAGCTGCAGGTGGGCGAGCGGCGGGCGCAGGGCCTGCAGGAGGCCGCCCGCCTCAAGGCGCTGGAGCTGGAGGTCTGCGCCAACGAACTGCAGCGTCGCAAGAGCGAGGCCGACCTCTTCCGCGCCAAAGCCGGCCGGCTGGAGCAGGAGGTGGCGGGGCTGAGGGAAGCCGCCCGCGGCCGCTGCCCCCAACCCGCCGAGGGGTTCCCCCCACCACCACCACTCAGCGAGGGATGCCCCCAAGCCGAGGAGGAGGAGCGGGGCAGCAGGGGCCTG